CTTAGAACTCTTAGGAGCCTCCTACGAAAACGCAATGAAACGGTTTGAATCATTAGAACGCGCCTTGAAAGTGCCTACATCCCGTGTATCGGCATAGTACAATGCTAGGACGCACTTCACCTCTGGCCAAATGTCGTCCCGCACATTGTAGGTATTAATCGCTGAATCAGCGCGACCTCTAATACCTACTTTCCTAATTTCTTCTTTAACCCCAGTTATCCGGGTCGTCAGAGCCATGCTCGTGGCATCTACACGACTCAGAACTTCTTTCATTTCTTCCATTTTCATATATATCATATATCATATCATATAATATATACCTCTGAGGCACGCGGTGCTACCCAGTCTCTTTCCTTTGTTCAATTTTTTCGTATTAACTCTTACAGGATTGTGAAATAAAAACTGAATTAATTATTTTTGCTTAGATTGTTACATTTAATTCTTATAAGAGTGTTGTGCGAACTGTTGTTGCATTGAAGCAAATGAACATTTTGTGGTGAATTTTCCTTTCTTTTCCTTTGTAGTTATTTGAAATTGGGCGTGGTGGTCTGTACTTATAATTTTTTGGCTTTTCGCCTACTAAGGTACGGTTGCCACACAATCCACTTTCCTGTTTTTATTTATTTATTGCCGCAGCGGGTATCGGATTTTATATGTTATTTTTTTTTATTGGCAATTTCTTTCTGCTCGCGTTTAAGCTACCCACATGATCGATTGACTTTCTATTAATTGATCGCAGCCCTTTGGACTTGCGAATATGTCCGAGTGGGAAAGTCGACGCAGCAGGTTGGCTAACTTTTTCTTTTATTAAAACTTTTGCGCCTCTGAAGAATGTCAACTACAAAGGGTATCATCCACACCGCAGCGGCTCGTTGTATTTAACACAGAAATATAAATCTCTAATTTCAATCATTATTCTTTGTTTTTACTATCATAGTCTCACAGTGTCACTCACGCACAACACTATTAAATTTATATTTTCGTTTTAGAAATTTTATAAATATTATATGCACTTAAATAAGAATTTCGTTGAATTTTCGCTGCAGTCGAGGGCAGCGATTTTAGGATGGGGCTGGGCTCAAGATGAAGTTTTCTGTTGAGACCAGAGAGAGGCAGGTAATGAATGGTCAGCGCACTTCCGTCGGTACACTGCTTCCGCTGCTATTCCGTTCGCTGACTTTTAGTCGCTGCCGTCGTCGATCTGTCGTTGCTGGTCTTTCGGCTCGTTGCTCTGTTGCTGGTGATTTTATGGTTTAGCGGCTATGGTTTTGGTAGCCGCTTGAACTTCTGCTGCCACGATGTGGATGGCTCGCTATATTTGCTTTATATGGCGCTACAATTACTTGAGACCAATTGAAGGCTTCTTATAGCGGAATATCCTTCGGTATGATAAGTACCCACATCTCGCTCTTGGACAGACTTGTTGTATCTATCTACAACAATGGGACAAGTTTCGTATTCAGTATTAACAGCCGAGTCCATATTACCGTTTCTACGCTAAATTGTCTCAGGTTTAAATCTTTATGCATTACACTTACAAAAGTCACATTTCCAGTGCAGGGATAACATGAGCCTGATCGGAACACTATATCATATAAATGCCATGGGAATCAAGTTTCGGAAAGAAACTTATATAACATAGGTAAAAATTTTCGAACAATCGTATGTAAGATGGTAGTAGTGACCCGGGTTTTAATATCATTGTTTTGAAAGAAATATATATTGACCATAAGTTATGGTCATAAGTAAGACCATAAAACGGTTTCATTAACTATGAAAATATTAGCACAAATTGTCGAAAATATGATGCAAGACCAATAAACTGTCTTACTTGGGAAACTGACTGTCGAGGAGGTAATTTAATTTATGCTTTTACGCGGATTGGGTCGAATTTTACCCTCCATTCCACGCATTTTTTTTAGAAGCGATATTCAATAAATCACCAACTTTGGATAGAATTCTTAAAACCGTTCTTAATATTTCAAAGGCTTCTTTAGTTTGTGATACTATCATAATGTCATCCATATAAACAATAACATATTAGTGTGCAAGTTCACCCAATGCTTTTATTACTGCACGTTGTAATACGGATGGAGCATTTTTTAACTCGAATTGGCCCTCCGGAGTAACGAATACTATACGTTCAATACAATTTGGGTGAATAGGGTGAATCTGGTGAACCGCTCGCCATATCTAAACAAGAAAAGTACCTATCGCCGCGTAGCCTAGATATTTGGTCGCTTATTAGCGGCAAGGGATAATTTTCGGCAATGGTGTTTGCATTTAATTCACGGTAATCCACGCATAGTCGATCAAAACCGTTAACAGAAATGACAGACTTAGTCTTAAAAAGATCAATCTTTTCAATAGTTATTGTAGCTCCAAAATTCTGATTTTAAATCTCGCGCCCAATTATTATTTTATAGTTAATGAAACTATTAAGGACTACATGAAAAAGGACTTCAATCGGGTATCCGCGAATCGAATATCAGCGACGCCACGGGCAGCGCGTTTCCTAGGCAATGACATGCTGAACTTTCAAATGAAGACTGCCTCATTTCGACACCAAACTTAGTATTTATAGGCTTGTGTCAGATCAAATCTACGCGACTATGTTCTTGCATTTTTGTCGCGTCAAAACCATGCGTCGAAGTTCACTTGACTTAAGGCCCGAAATTGCTCGAAGTTCGGCGCACACTTCTTACAGTTATGTCGCGCCTAGGCTACCATTGGCCCAGGCATCGAACGGACACAAGACGAATTCTAGAGAATTCTGCAAATTGCTTTACATTTCATCATTTATGTGGCTGTCCAACATGCCTGCAAGTTGCGTTTAATTTTAATTCATTTGTGGCCGATATCTCATATATGCAGTATATTTTTTTATTGTTATCGCCCACCTCTTGCACAATTTCCACCACAGATTGAAAAAAGAGAGAACGCTATAGTCAAGTGCCGTGTCTATAAGATAATCGGTACTCAGCTAAGGGATATGCCAAAAGAATGGAGCAATCGGCCAAGAGAGTTTTCTAACTATTATACAATAATTCTTTATTATGATTGATCAGTTAATGTATGATGGCTGTAGCTAGCAGTGACATTGCTGGTGACATTGCTAGCTAATTTCTTTCAATGAACTTTTAGTTTATTATTAAGTTGTTATTGGAACGATTTAAACAATTGTTGGCAAAAAACGGGTATTGAAAGGACAAACAATATATTGTTTAGACATTAACGAAGACTTAAATCATAGGCGTTGGACAAAGGTTTGAAGTACTCGGCGTTTATACGGACGGTCAGACGGACATGTTGACATGCAGCTTCCAAATTCATAGACGCAGCGCAAGTTTGTTTCTAAATGTTGCCACGTCCAGTCAAATGCCCACAAACCGCACAAAACTGCCACGACCACATTTTTGGAAAATATGATATTTTTTCACATTGTTATACATCTTGTAAAGATACTATTCACTTTACTATCTCTATTTATGGAATCCATATAATTCATATTGACCATGCAAGTCAATGTATTGACGGTATTAATTTTATATAAAACAAACTCGCTGGCACTTATTGTCACACCAAAACGTTGACATGGAAAAGAATTTCTAAGGAAAAAATACAAATATTTACGGTAGCTCGAATTTGCATTGTACTTGTCACGGAGCCTTCATTATCAAATATTCACTCGTCTCTGAGCCTGAGTTGACGATGTTGTGCAACTTGTTGCAATATGGCCCAGCTGTCCACACTTGTAGCACTTTATGGTTAACATGTCCCTCTTTAAAGTAAAGCTGCTGTGTGTCTGCTGGCACACACAGACAAACACTCATTCGCCCTTGGGCCACTGTTGTACATGTTTAACAAGATGGCTGCAGCGTCTCTGCACTATCATATTGTTGAGTAAACAATACTCTGAATTCTGGCCACTTTATTCCACCGTAGCAAATCTGGGATAACCATTGAGATGCTCCTCCTTCTAACGAGTCGCTTAGTGCCATAACCAAAGCGCTTCCATCCAACATATTTTCTGCCCTAATTATGTCAACAGTTTTGCGAAATGCAGTTGCGTCCGCATTTGCAGTGTCTGGGTTAGACTTCGGTAGGGTCACTTTGTTGGTTACGCCTTTATTTTAGAGGTCTGCATGGATTTAAATAACTCCATAAAAGTTTTGTTTTGAGAATCAAATAATGCACGCCACTGTTCGTTCGAGAGGTCTAGGGATTAGGCCGATCCCACTTCTGATGACGGGTTTGACGGGTCCATCTTGATAGGCACAGCAAGTCCCCTGTGTGTTCTTCTTTCGATCGTTCTAACTGTGAGACTAACCAGACTAACTGTGAGCGTCGCTCTCTCTCAAAGCTTTACCTCGATTTCGCCACTTCGCAAGTATTTCATCATCCTCCTTTCGTTACCACGAAACTCTACAAAGCTACAACAACAGGCGGCATGCTCATTTGAGTATACCTACAAACGATGCTCTCTCAATAACGGAACGCTCTCTTTGAGAAATGTGGCCAGCTCCTTATTTTTAACATGACTTAATAATAACAATTTCTGTTATATTCAAATAATAATATTTTAGAACCACTTAATCTTCGACATGTTTATAAATTTTGATATTTATTTAGCATATCACCTCAATAGTAAATATTGATCCAGTTATTAATAGGAAACATTTTAAAGTTTTAAACATATTATTATCCGACAGACATATTCTCATTTTAAAGACACTTATTTCGAGTTATGTGTTTTTTTTGACAATCACCATATAATGCTAAAATAAACAGGCCAGTTAAAAACAATATACAGCAGCAATACTAGAGTATTGTCATAAAATAACTATATGGTAAAAATTATCAAATTGTATTGTAATTGTTTTGTGGGGTCTATGTATGTATATATATTATGAACTTTTTATTATTAATTTATTATTGATGTACATAGTACATACATGACATTAACAAATTTCTTTTTAATGGCGCTTATTATTTTTCAGGGTTTCCCGAGGTTGTAATAGCACTAATTTTAAAGGATGTATTATCAGCGCTTACTTATATTCACTCTGAACATTATGTACATGGATCTATAAGGGCTAAGCACATACTTATAAGTCCAAGAAAAGCTGTTATATCAAATTTTAGTTACTGTCAAAGTTTTATTAGTCATGGAGAAAAAAAACCGTTTATATTTGGATCAACGGTGGGAATAGAAAAAGAGTTGTATTGGACGGCGCCAGAAGTTTTATATCAAAATCTTTCCGGTTACACTGAAAAAATAGATATTTATTCCATCGGAATTACTTGTTGTGAAATGGCAAATGGTTTTCAACCGTTTAAAGACACAGAATTAACATACATGTATATTGAAAAAGTGCGTGGAACCCTGCACTTGCTACTGGATAAAAGCAGCCTACTGGAAAATCAAGGTAATTTTTATCAAAAAAGACAAAGGATCTAGAGCCTTTACTTCGTCGCGCCTTAGATGGCGCAACAAATATTTTTGTTATATCGATAGAAAACGGCAAAACTAATAAAAACAAGATAGAATGCTGTAGTCGAGTTCCCCGACTATCAGATACCCGTTCCGGTATCGATTTTCTGTAATATCGGGGGAAATGGGGAAAAAAAATAATAAAATGAAAAAAAACTTAGAATTTTGTAACATTTTATAACATTTTTTTAAAAATGTGGCCGTGACAGTTTTGTGCGGTTTGTGGGCGTGGCAATATTTCGAAATAAATTTGCGCTGCCTCTATGTCTCTGGAATCTGTATGCCTAATCTAAATATTCTACCAATTATAGTTCCCGAGATCGATCCGTTCATACGGACAGACGGACGGACGGACAGGTGGACATGGCCAGTTCGTTTCGGCTATTGATCCTTATCAAAAATATATATACTTTATTTGGTCGGAAACTCTTTCTTCTGCCTGTTACAAATATTTCAAAAACCCTGGCGTAACAATTATGACGACTTGTGGACGTCTCTAGAATTTGTACTTAGCGTTAGCGGTATTGGTAGAGGGCGTGATCGCTGCGGGTTCGTTATTTCCTTCTAACAGGATGTGGATGCTTATGTTTTGAGATTGAGCTGGGCGGCGAATCCAGGTTTTGAATGGAGCGCGCTTCAGCAAAGTTCTGACGCCAAATTTGTATGAGTCTGTAACGCCATCATTAGATGAACATTTCTATCATAAAGTGGAACTTGGACAGCACAACTTTGGAAATACTCACAATTCGTGAGTATCTGGACAGCAATGATAGCAATTTATCCATGGTAGTTAGCCTATAGATCTGTGGAAGGATCTAGGTCTGCCGAAGCAAAGTATGCGTCAAGAAAATTTCAAGATCGAGAAAGCGAGTGCACACCAGCCGGTTAAGACCTACAGTAACGTGAACCCAAGGATTCTGATAGGATTAGACCATGAGCACATGGGAATACCTATGAAAAATACAAAAATTGAATCGGTGGTGTTCTTGCAAATGCAATGACATAAGTTCACCGATACAGAAATATATGCCTCTTAGTCGTCTCATAGGATCGTCTTCTGGGCTAGATGGTCAGGGAATAATTTCAAATAGAGAAATTTGGAGCGCAGCCAATCGCAATTAGTGAAGAAACATTGGTATAGCGGCAAAGCAACCCGGACCATGTCAATCGTTTGAAACCCCGAGAATGATATGGGTTCACAGCACTGTTTTTCATTGTTAATCGTAAAATAGGGACGATACCACCCTCCCATCGTTCCCCGATTAGGGGTGTTTTTATCCGTTACTCGTTGAGTATACAAGATTCTTAAAAAAAAGAATGCAACTGGTAGAAGAAAGGAATACCATATAAAGTATATAAATTAATTAATGATAGTTCGCACCGTCTTGTGATATTGTCATCCGTCAGGTTTTTCTCCAGAGGTGAAGGGCTTTCTTCGATGACTACTCCGAGGGGAAAGATTATTGTCTACGTTGAGAGGAACTCTCCCCTTTTAACTACCAGCCTTGTGGTCTGGCAGAGTAAATAATAAAGATATGTTTTACGACGTTTAGTCGGAGTAAAAGTCCCGAACTCCTTGATGAACTCCAAGTTACGTTCACTCAGCTGGTCAAGATAGGGGAGACTCAGAATATCTCTGTTGGCGGTGATGTTGAATGATGGGGAACTCGCTACCCCTGGAGTTCGTATTTGGGCCTTGTCGTGATTTATAAAGATGGTGTCATTTATCACGACGCGATCGTTGAAGGTGATGAGTTGTGTGCCACGTAGGTAGACTTCTGTCCCGTTGTCCACCGTGACCCTGGCTGGCCGGTCATTGATGTTGATGATTCCCTCATTCACGCGGGCTAGCGGGTGTAGGTTGCTTGGTTGCGACTCGCAATGGGCTAGCACGCTTGCGTGTAGTTCCCTGGCGCATGAGCTTTCCATTGATAGTTGACAAAAGGTAGCCCCCGGCGTTGGGGTGCAGTTTTTGATTGTATGGACAAAAGATCCCCTATGGGGGTATCTGTGTGATAAATCTGCGTGATCTATAATATTTGGATTAACAATATTATATTTCGCCAGTGTTACAGCCAACATTAAATTCTGTAATTCCATCATAAGCATTCTATTGCTAGCCAGCAGTGTCTCATATAAATGGCCGGTGTCAATTTAAATATTTTTATGTGTTTGCAAAATTTGATTTACAGTTGTTGGTAATCTGTTTAATGGTAAATGGTAAACGGCCATGCTCGTGATCGTGTGCGATTTTAACGATCGCTCGTTGTCGCAGTCAATTACTTTGGCCTTTGGAAGGAAATATTTTTTACCCGTTGAGAAAATGTCTATGTGTAGCAAATCTCCTACATGAGAAGGAATCGGTGACTCGCCAAACTCTCGTTTCTTTGGATGCCTATCGTATTTAGCTTTCGCGTGTTTTGGACAATTCCATTGGCCAGTTTGGCCATTTTTGGGAAGTAGTACTCTGTGAGAACCTGCTTGACATTTTCTTGAGCCGACCGGTGGGCCCTATTGTGCTCTGCTAATATTATTTCCCTCCTTTCCTCGACCCCAAAAAAATGTCTGTAACACGGTTTTTGCAGTGCCAGAATTTTGTAGTCGGGAGTCTCCAGACTAAGTCGACCTGCACCGTTGCTAGCGTGTGCAAATCGCAGTGGAGGGCGTTTACTCCCTTGGGGACTATTGTATCCGCAAGGTCATTGAGTAATGACTCCTTGTCGGTGAAGTTGATTGCGTGTCGTTTCATATTTTTCAAGAGAACGAATGAGCGTTTTAGCGGAAAGTGGGCCTCTTTTAAAATTAGTTGATGCTGGAAGCAATTTAGGGGCTTATCCGTAGTTTCTATGGTGTGAGTGAGGGAAATCTTACTGTGAATGGTCGCAACGCATGATAGTACGTCCTGTTCTCCTATGGCATTAATTTGCTGCCTAGGCATGGCAACAGCAACCAAAATTTCTTTTCCCGGTTTATAGAATACCTTCGGACCCGTTTCCTCGATGCGTCCCTTCCACCTTTTAATTTTCGCGTTAGGGTTAGATTCTGATACCGAGAATGACAATGACTGATGGTCAGTGAAGATCGTTATATCGTTATATCTTTCACCTCATATAAATAGTGTCGCAGCTTGGCCAACGCCCAAACGATGGCTAATAATTCCGTTTCATTTGTGCCGTAGTCCATTTCCCTATCCTTTAATGTCCTCGAAATCATTGTAATAGGACGGTTCTCTTGGGAAAGCACTGCTCCAATACCGTAGGCTGAAGCATCCGTCGTTAAATGGAATGGCTTCTTGCAATCCGGGTATCTGAGCATAATATTATCATGGAGATATCTGGCATCGGGTATTTATCCGGGACCGTCCTATCGTTTAGCTTACGAATGTGTATGACCAATCGTCTATTTTGATTGCCGGCCGTTGGTTCCTTTTTTGTTAACCACCCATATTGGGTTGTTATAAGGAGACACCGACTACTGAATTATACCAATTTTAAGCAGGTCCTGGATTTCGTTGTTGACAAAATCTGCTGCCCCCATGGGGTATGGATATAATTTGGCGTAAATGGGCTCTTCGCTAGTCGTTCTTATCGTGGCCACTACCGACGTGTTTTATGGTAGGGCCTCGTTGGGAACTGCGAAGGCGTTTTTTCGGCCTTTTATCATCCCCAGAAATGTCTTCTTTGCCAAAGTTGGTACATCCGCGTTTGTGAAGTTGACGTCAGTGCCTTTATGGAATGAAATCTTCTCAACCTGCTTACCCCATTTGAGTTGGGCGGAAGCAAGGCAAGGTGATGCGCCGGCCTGTGTTAACAGATCGGCCCCGATTATTCCATCGAATAGTGTAAAATCTGGTAAAATGAAAAAGGTCACTTTCAAGTTAAAGATCGAGACGAAGCATTTTTTTATAACAGTGATGGCGCCATGAATTGAGTGAATTTTGAAAGGTGAGTTCACCGGGCGGATACCCTTTAACTCTTTGTGAGGTCGGATGAAATTTTTAGACGCGCCGGTGTCTATAAGGAAGTTCATTCGTTCGTAGTTAAAATCATACTCGCCAATGGCATCGTTGTCTATTTTCAATTCCGCTTTGGATGCGGTGACGGCATATGCTCCTGTCTTTTCTTCCGCATTCTGCGTTATGAAGTTAATTTTTTGTTGTTTCCTCACGGCGCTCAGAGGTGGCTGGTCTTCTGTTCTGGTAGGCAGTTGCCTGTGTCGGCTGCAGCATCTTAGAAAATGAGGGGTCGACCTCCATAGGCTCCGATGCGCCGTTGTTTTTGTAATTTATAGTATTGTGCGGGACGGCGTGAACCCGTGCCTTATGCTGCCTATTGAAATATGGATTTTTGGAATTATTTTGTTGTGGGTCATGGTGGTCGTACTTGTCAAGTTGACGACCCTGCGTTTTTGCAGTAGGTTTGCGATCTTTGTCTTCCTCACTTTTTGCGAAACTGGCTGCAAAAACGTACCTCTCGTGGTTAGAATCAACTTTTTGCGCTAAAGTCAGAGCTGACGGCATGTCTTTCGGCTTTGTCGCGAAAAGCACGTCAGTGAGGTTGCGTTCAAGTCGCGAAATGAAAATACGTAAAGCGTCATCTCGAAATTTTTCGCACAATATTTTTGACGTCGACGGCTCGTGAGACATATGAGCTTTGTTTGTGAGTAAGGTGAGTTTTTTCTCGACCTCATCATATGCAGCTATCGTTGCTTGTTGCCATGAAACGTATCATTCCTGTGACCCTGAGAATTCAGGCAGATATTTACCGGCGCCTAAAGTTACGCTACATGAAAAATTATTAGTTTAATTATTAGTTATGTCTATGGGTTCGTAGGCTCTAAATACGGTTGCTGCCATCTGGTTGGCCAGTTCCTGAATTGACTGAAGCATTTCATTTTGTGCGAGTTGCTTTTTGGCGGCCTCGTCCGCTAAAGTGTTGGTTACAATTGCCTGTATTACAGCTTTGAGCTGTTCTGGTTCTGTCGCCAATGCGGGGGGACTCGCGGTTACACGTCCTAGAGATGAAGCTAGATTTTCGCTATCGGACTATGAGTCGGTGGAGTATGGTTTATTATTCCTATATTGTGAGAATCCGGGCTGCATGAGCGGTCCAATTCGCCTAGGCATGCAAAAGCTTACTGTGTGGATAGCAGTTGACCAAAGACAAGCAAACAATAAATAAAGACAAAGGCTGCAGCGTCGAATGTCGCGCTTGAATCGAATAAAAACATAAAACAATAATGAATAATTTCAGTTGAAAATAATTTTTACGCTGAACACTGGCCTTGATTTATAATTTTTGTATTATATATTTTTTTATTTAAAAAAACGCTTCTGTGCAGCGGTTCGTTGCACATAAAAATATTAACAGACTTAAATGCGTTTAGAATTGGTTCTTAGTCAGATGATTTTTTTTCAGTGTATGTGTTATTTCGTCACTTATTTCCTTCACTTTTCCCGCGCCGCTGTCTTTTGCTTTGCCGCCCGTGTTTGGGTAGCAATTTCAGAAGCTGTGTGGGTGGGTTGTGGTTCTTACCACTAGTTGGGCGCCAATTTATTAATGATAATTCGCACCGTCTTGCGATGTCGTTATCTGTCAGGTTTTTCTCCAGAAGTGAAGGGCTTCCTTCGATGACTACTCCGAGGGGAAAGATTATTGTCTACGTTGAGAGAAACTCTCCCCTTTTAACTACCAGCTTTGTGGTCTGGCAGAGTAAATAATAAAGAAATTTCGAAGTAAAAGTAAAAAAGCTCTTTATTCTGGTGATTCTTAAAGCTAACAAAGACTCGCAGCGGCCACGCAAATATTCTGTGTTTGCCGGCTGCGCACGGGTTTCCGGCTATAATCTAGCACGTTTCTAGTGACCGAATTATTCTACTGTAATACTCATTTACAGTAATGCATAATTTCCATAGCTGTGGATCGTTTCTCCGCTTGCTTAGCTTAGTTAACTTCCCTCTATTTGGAACTTCTTATTATATACATGACGTTCACTGCTTATATGTAAAAAAAAATACATTCCCGTTGTACTGTTATTCCTTTGGACAAAAATGCTGTGTATTGTTCGCTTATTTGGTCCAAGACAAAGTCCATTCTCAGCACTGGGTATAGACTGCCGAGCACAGTGATAGTCGTCCGATTTTGAGCAAACATAGAATTATTATATCCGTTAACTCGTAGAGTAAAGAGGTATACTAGATTCGTTGAGAAGTATGTAACAGGCTGGAGGAAGCGTTTCCGACCATATATAGTATATATATTTATGATCAGGATCTATAACCGAGTTGAACTGGCCATGTCCATCCGTCTGTCCGGATAAACGCCTCAGGAACTTTAAAACTACGCAGCACATTGTTGTTTCCACGCCCTCAAACCGCACAAAATTTCCACTCCTACTTTTAAAAAAGATGTGTGGATATTTTAAAAAGTATTATGCGACATCTCCAAGCAGATGGTCAAATTTGCGAACAATATCCCTAAGGAGAGCATTACCGATATCCAGACCAAGGCAGTGGCGGTGTCCAGCAGGATTGAATCCTGCACAGAGCGTCGCTGTATTTATCCGTCGAATAGATATTTCTAATTTCCAAGGCCAAGGCTCAGTTGCCTTGGCCAGTCTGCCACGCCCACACCTTTGCAAAGTGTTGTGATATATTTGAATTTTGTATATATCTTGTAAGTTTTAATAAATTTGCCTAGCAACATTTTGCCACGCACACTCTAATGCCCACAAGCCGTCCACACTTGTTACGAAGTGTGTTTAAACAATTTTCAAGTTTTTTTTTCATTTTATTATTTGTTTCTCCAATTTCACTAGCCCAGTCGATTCCGTCCGTCCGTCTTTGTGTACGTCTCAGAAACTATGTATAAACTATTACAAAAAATTTAGATTACCTTTGCAGATTCTAGAAACGCCTTCGCTGTGTCAGCGAACTGTCACACTTTTAAAAATGTTTTTTTTCTCATTTTATTTTTTATTAGTCTTGCCAGTTTGTATCGATATTCCAATAATATTTTGGACGCACCCACAATTTTTAATAATGTTTTAATTTTTCTTTGTATTTGATTGTGCATTTGCAAAAAGTCCTTCAATACTGCGCAACTAAAGCTTCTTTTAATTTTAGGATCTGTATCAATGGATCACACAATTAAAGGAATTGCTCGTGATGTAATTGTTAGCAAATCATTTTCGGAAGACTTTCATCAATTCGTTGAACTCTGCTTGAATAAAAATCCTTTATCTCGATGGGCTGCATCAAAATTAATGACACATTCGTTTCTTAAACAATGCCGGAATACCAGTCTTTCAGACCAATTAAAAGGCCAAGAAATATCAAAACATAAAATAAAAGAACGTAAGTAAGCTTGCACTAACAACTTAGGAAAATACTTAATCCTTATTTAACAAGGTTAGTACCATTAAAAGCACAATTTCGCACTACTGTGCAATTAAACCTCTTTTGGGAGGTTTTCGGTTTTAAAACTGTTGTCCAGATTAAATTAAAATTTCTAATATTTGAAACGAAAACAAGGGAGAATGCTATAATCCGATACCTTTTACTCATCGAGTGAAAGCGCAAACGAGAAATTTTATAATTTTATGTATCGGTAAAAATGCCGAAAAACGGAAGCAAAATTTTTTTGGCAAATCGATAGAAATTTACAAAAAAAAAACAAACAAAAAATGTTAAAATTTCAAAACATTTTTCAAAAAGGGTATGGCAGTCGTTAGAGTGGGCATGGCAACATCATTTAACACACTTGCGCAGCGTTTATGTTTTTAGATTCTGCATCCTACTCTCAACTTTCTTGCTTTTATAGTTCCTGAGATCTCGAAGTTCATTCGGACGGACAGACAGCCGGACAGACGGATATGGCCAGATCGACTCGGCTATTGGTCCTGATCAAAAATATATGTACTTTATATGGTCGGAAACGTTTCCTTCTGCTTGTTAAAAATATTTCAAAAACCGCGGAGTAACAATTATGACGACTTGTGGACGTCTCTAGAATTTGTACTTAGCGTTAGCGGTATTGGTAGAGGGAGTAGTGCTGCGGTGTGGTCATTCTATTGAAGCAGTAGAAACTTCAAGAATCGGTATTTTAGTTTTGCGTTCTGCCTGCTAACAGGATGTGGATGCTTATGTTTTGAAAATTGAGAGAGGCGGCGAATGCCGTTCCAGGTTTTGAATGCAGCGCGAGTCTGACGCCAAATTTGTATGAGTCTGTAACGCCATCATTAGATGAACATTTCTATCATAAAGTGGAACTTGGACGGCACAACTTCGGAAATACTCACAATACGTGAGTATCTGGACTGCAATGGTAGCAATTTTTCCATGATAGTTAGCCTATAGATCTGTGGAAGGATCTTGGTCTGCCGAAGCAAAGTATGCGTCAAGAAAATTTCAAGGTCGAGAAAGCGAGTACACACCAGCCGCTTAAGACCTACAGTAACGTGAACCCTAGGATTCTGATTGGATTAGACCATGAGCACATGGGAATACCTATGAAAAATACGAAAATTGAATCGGTGGTGTTCGTGCAAATGAAATGACAAAGGTTCACCGATACAGAAATATATGTCTCCTAGCCGTCTCACAGGATCGTCTTCTGGGCTAGATGGTCAGGGAATAATTTCAAATAGAGAAGTTTGGAGCGCAGCCAATCGCAATTAGTGAAGATACGTTGGTGTAGCGGCAAAGCATCCCGGACCATATCAATCGTTTGAAACCCCGAGAATGATATGGGTTCACAGCACTGTTTTTCATTGTTAATCGTAAAATAGGGACGATACCACCCTCCCATCGTTCCCCGATTAGTGGTGTTTTTATCCGTTACTCGTTGAGTATACAAGATTCTTACAAAAAAAATGCAACTGGTAGAAGAAAGCGTTTCCATATAAAGTATATAAATTAATTAATGATAATTCGCACCGTCTTGTGATATTGTCATCCGTCAGGTTTGTCTCCAGAGGTGAAGGGCTTTCTTCGATGACTACTCCGAGGGGAAAGATTATTGTCTACGTTGAGAGGAACTCTCCCCTTTTAACTACCAGCCTTGTGGTCTGGCAGAGTAAATAATAAAGATATGTTTTACGACGTTTAGTCGGAGTAAAAGTCCCGAACTCCTTGATGAACTCCAAGTTACGTTCACTCAGCTGGTCAAGATAGGGGAGACTCAGAATATCTCTGTTGGCGGTGATGTTGAATGATGGGGAACTCGCTACCCCTGGAGTTCGTATTTGGGCCTTGTCGTGATTTATAAAGATAGTGTCATTTATCACGACGCGATCGTTGAAGGTGATGAATTGTGTGCCACGTAGGTAGACTTCTGTCCCGTTGTCCACCGTGACCCTGGCTGGCCGGTCATTGATGGTGATGATTCCCTCATCCACGCGGGCTAGCGGGTGTAGGTCGCTTGGTTGATAGTTGACAAAAGGTAGCCCCCGGCGTTGGGGTGCAGTTTTTGATTGTATGGACATAAGATTCCCTATGGGGGTATCTGTGTGATAAATCTGCGTGATCTAGAATATTTGGATTAACAATATTATTTTTCGCCAGTGTTACAGCCAACATTAAATTCTGTAGTTCCATCATAAGCATTCTATTGCTAGCCAGCAGTGTCTCATATAAATGGCCGGTGTCAATTTAAATATTTTTATGTGTTTGCAAAATTTGATTTACAGTTGTTGGTAATTGGTTAATTCGACTTTGTATTCTTGTATTAATTTTGATTTGCCCATTGTTTGACTGTGTCAACTGCCACTCTGTGAACCTAACTCTTTCTAGATCGCTGGCATCCAGCGTCCCCGCTACTACCTTTAGCATTGAGCCCAGGCTCTTAACGTATCTTAACGAGTCTCGAAGGTGCGAGGTATCCACCAATGACAGTGAGAGGAGGATGAAAATTCTGCACCTACGGAAATGTATTTTTTAGTCTCTTTTTCTTGTTCGCTGAGGCTTGTCCTATCACCAAATTATTTTAACCTACAAATAAAACATCGTGGCGTGGTATATATTATATAAATATATATCTGTAGCAAGTAAAATGCTGTTAAAGTATGCTAAATATCATACTGCTCCATTAACTTTTAAAACGCTTTAGTCAAAATGGAGATCCGACAGTACTACTTTCGGGACTCCGAAGTAGTTTCCAATGAGGCCTGAACGGACTGAAAGATCTCCAAGAGCGAGATAAGGGCACTTATCATACGAAGGATATTCTGCAAAAAGGTGGTCGCCTTGGGGATCTTAAAAAATAATTGTAGTGGCAACTGAATCAAATAGATTATATCGTCCAAAAATAAACTGATTTTAAGAAATCATACTTTGAAAAAATGTCGAGGGCAATTAAAAAATCGATGTTGCCGCTCCTTGACCCAGGATTCGGAGAATATAAATAAATAGACAAAGGCGGTCTGAGAGTGAAATATGGTGCTATAGAACTTTTAAAACATCACAAGCGCTGTTATAGGCCCTGTCGTCACAAACAAAAGTAGGTAAGAAGTTGTAACGCCTTATTGTCTAGATATGTTTGTGTCATGAGCTTGTAGTGTACGTAGTTCGATAGATTTTTAACTAGTGGGTCTTTTAATAGTGGGTGATAATTACTAATAAAGAGGACCTTGTACTTCCTTCGCTAGGGATGCGCACTCTTGCTATGCTCGGGTCTAGCTCGCCGTAGGTCGGGGTTCTTTTAGCTTAGGATAGTACGAACGCTACTACATTTTAATAAGTGCGTCTTACTCATAAACAATATTCAAAACTGGATTATCGATTAACAAAAGAAATGGCTTTATAATGATACTAATGATACACGCCGACACGTGTGAAGATAAGCTACAGATTCTGATAAGTATTGGGAATTTCGGATGTTAATGATTCCCTAAGTCTTTACCCTCCCTACCATGACAATGCTACTTATAATATTTACATTGTCCCTTGGCCAAGTTCAAAATAACTCTACCACATATTTAAGAAAGTGTTCAACATAAGTACTCGACAAACCATTAAATTTATTTATTCACAATTCATTATTTTTCAATATATCTTCAATCATAATTCCATTTATATAAATTCAGTTTAATAAGCGGTTTCATTAAATCTCTTTTACAAACTAACAATATTTTTATCTACCCATAATTATCCTAGTCGTTCTCTAACTCTTCATGTTCGTTTATATTCAATGGGTAAAATAAAGTATATAAAAGTAAAGTATAAAGCAAATATATATAAGTAATTGAATATAAAATTAGCAAATATAGTTACATAATCTTTAGTCAAATGCAGATATTATTTTAATTAGACGTTCGAGTGGCATTTTGTTAGAATTTAATTATAGGGTATTCATAATAATGTTTTTATCATTGTTGTTGTAGTACTCACGACCTTAAATATCCACTCCATGATGTGCGTAAAGTTGGGCCCAAGTTCACGTTGACATTGTCGAGCTGTAGGTCAAACTTTAAAGGTTCTAATTTAAATTCCTATTCAAATGCCAAAAGTTCCGTCAATCTGCGAGTATTTAATTCATTATAAATCGCAATACAAAAGAAAATCGAGAATCAAAACAAAACACGAAATATAACTGCAGTATTGCAGCGATAAGACCTTAGTAAACCGCTGGCTGCTACGCTGCGCTGCGATAAGACGAAATCACAAAGTTGGACCTCCGTTGGTCATAGGAGATGATCTTCACTGCGTGACGATGATGATGTTCAAATGTAATTAAATCTGCTCCGGTCGTCTAAAGTTCTGCATAGCTGAATATCTGGATGAACTCTAGCCTTCCAATATATTTGGCCAGTTATCATACGGCAGGTGGCCGGTTGCGTAACTTGTTGCTGAAGGTTATGTCGCCTCGTGGCCTCTTCTTGGAGCGACGGGGTTTAAACCATAAGCTAATGCGGGGGTCGACGAGACGGGGGGGGGGTAGTCGGCTGTAGAGCAACCAAATGCTCTTATATATAGGCCTGGTCTTCCTTACGCCTTGGGGTCGAATCTCGTTGCCACTTTCACACACAAATCGAACACGGAAATTTATTGAAATATACCAACTCTTGTTTTTATGAGATTGGATATATATAACTAAATTATATTTCCACGTGTATGAAGTTTAAACGGGCAGCTTCAAAAATGTATGAGCGTTCGCCACGAAGATTTATCCGATAATGATCTAAGCTCTGGGGAAGCTGCATGCTGGTGGTCGCTGTTACAGCTTTTCTTTCCCTAACTGTATAATCGTACGATCATATTCTGTTCTGATTGGTCTAAGACAATTCTCTCGCTTTTTCTTTTACACAAAAGCTGCTATAATTTAGGGCGAGGGTGTCTTGAAGAGTTTTTGCAGTGTA